ATGCACTTGTAATTACTAGCAAACAAAATCCTCCTAGGACCTGGGGTCGGAGTAATTTTCGCGACTAGGGGCTCCTGGCCTTAGTAACAAGTGCCTCGCTACTAGGAACAAGTGTTCCTCCGCCACAGCCCCAAGTCGATGTTTCCATACCTGCGTGAGCTCTCCGTGTGAAATTTCTGGAGGCAGGTTGTTCAACCCCTTCGAATTGCAGCAAGGCCTATGGGATGGACTTCTGGAGAAATGGAAGGCGACACTCTGGTGTAATGTGTGTGAAATTCCCACTCTGGTGCCATCGGTGCAGCAGTTTCCACTGCGCACTCCAGGAATTGGGTTCACAGGTCCCAAGACCAGATTAGGATGATTTGGTGCAAAGTGATGGATGATTTGCCCATCTACTGAATCTGCTAAGGTCGTGTTCCAAGTCATGTAAAGGCCGAATCCACACGCCGCGGCCTGCAACGTGCACGAGTCGTCATTGGAATTCTTCCACACCTAACTGCAAACAAATCGCCATCAACGCTCGAAACCAATCCAGCTCATGCAAACGTTTCTTTCCAAGCTGTGCCAGATTTGGACCGTCGGTGGATGACCTGAGAACCACACATCAAGACATGCCAGCGAATTGGTCACATCAAGAGAGGAACAATTTGGAAGTTTGCCCGTCTGCCGCAATCATGCCAGTATGCTGCATGTCTCACCATTTGGCTAGGAGATTGCCCCTGGCACTATGTCCACCAAAAGGGCACATGCTATTGTGGATACCGTGGCACACAATTCATCCATACAGCGTCCATGAAAAATAGTTGCAAAAGGCAAAGAAGGCCATTTTTGTGCACAAAAATGTTCGACAAGCTGCTGCTGCATCGCGCCTTTCCGAATGAAGCGACTCTCAATGGTGTCAGAGTTACATGTCGCTCCGCAATGCTGTCTGGGCCACATTGCTGCGATAGACCAAGATCCCTGGCAAGACAAAGACGACTGCAAGGATATACCATGGATTTGGCCAAGCAAAACTCCCAAGGGCCAAAGAAAGAATCAACAAAGGAAAAGCGTGGTCAACTGGCAACTTTGCACAGTCCCATATACCAACCGCCGTTGACCATCCCAACAAGGCTGCCTTTTGGCTGCAGAGCCTTGGTTACTTCCTATTGGCCCCTCCTAGTGGACGAAGAAGCAGCTCATCAAAATGCCGGAGACATCTTTCCAGCCTTTTTTCAGCGAAAAGTTCTGGAATGCGGGTATATACTTGGCAGGAAGTCTGCACAGAATGTGAAACCTTTTTGCCAGCGGCATCCTTTCCAACATGTAAGTTTGGCAACTCTCATTCAATCGGAATGCTCCGAAAACGATCTCCTCAATGAGGAAAGGATGCCCTTCAGGCACACCGCCTTTGTGCATGCGTGGCAACATCTGACCCGCAATGAGCAACCTGTGTCAAAAGAAAGGCACCGTCCTGAATCGCTGCTCGCAGCAGCTGTTGGCTTGCGCTGGGCTGCTGAAATTGCTAGGTCGTCATGTCGTTATGACAAAAGATTGTGAGACGGCTGGCAGGGTGGCGCGAAGTGAGCCACTTAGAACAACACTAAAAGAGATGGCCTCCAACCTAGTAGCAAAAGGAACCTAATAGCAATGGCCTCCAACCTAAGAGCGATGGCCTCCAACCTAGCAGCGGTGGCCTCCAACACTAAGTCAATGAATTATATTCTAGTAGGGCAAAAGCTGCACGTCAAAATTCCGTGGCTCGCAAGCTATCTTATCGAAGACCGCCACCATCGTGGCGAGGAAAGCAAGAGGGCAGCGCCTGCATTGTTGTGGATGGGTCTGAATTCCGTGAAAACGTAGTGTCTTCTAGCTGGTTCCAACTTGATTCCAACTATGATGTTCAAATGCTTAGCAGCTGGGACTATCCTATTACGGTTAGCAAAGACCTTGTTCAAGATAGTGATAATTGTTTACTGACTGTTACAGGAAATGGGACTGACCCAACTTAGCAGCGTTTGAGCAATTCGCGTCGCCTGAAGGCTGGAGCCTAAGGTTTCTCCGTAGCATCCGTGTCTTCAAGGATCCCTCCAACCTACACGAGCAGGCAAAAAGCATGGTGCAAGCATCATCATGTCCATGTTGCCTTATGTAACTTGCATTTCATCAAACAGTTTGGTGCTTTTGAAGTTCTTTGGCCAGTTGATAAGTTGACAAGGCCAATCGTTGTTCTTTGATGCAACTTCACTGAACATCATGTCACAATCTTTTGCAAAGAATATATGCATCTTGTTACTAGTAGCGGTGACCTCCAACCTAGTAGCATCTTGTTCCGGGTAGTAAGGCCAGGAGCTGTTCGTAGCGTCCTTGCTCCTAGTAGCGATTCCCTTTGTTCCTAGTAGCGTTCTTGTTCCTAGTAGCGTCCTTGTTACTACTAGTAAGGCACTTGTGACTAGAAGCGATGCACTTGTTCCTAGTACCGTTCTTGTTGCATCCCTAGCGGACGAGATTTCGGGCTCCAAAGAGGTGCCCGAAGGCAACCAACATCCCCAAGTGATGGAACTGGCCGTGATAGGACCTGACCTCACACGAGTTGTCGTGACCTGTCGCATCTCAATGACCAAACTTCAAGGCGCCAAACTGGAGCCGTCCCACGATTTGGGGGGCATCATGGCAGCCTTGCAGTAGAAAGGTGGGCTTGATTTGGGGACTTCGTGGATTGAGCGGATTGAGTTTGTGCCTGAAGTCACTAAAACTGCCAAGGTGCCCATTGTACAAACTTTCCATCCTGGATTTATTGAAGCTGCGAATCATGGCCAAATCACACGAAACCAGTGAATCCAGCTACCAAGGACTTTGCATTTCTTCATTCATTGCTTGCCACGCTAGTAGTAACAAGTGCCACGCTAGTAGTAACAGGTGCCTTACTGGTAGTAACAAGAAGCCATTAGTAACAAGTGCCACGCTCGACGTCCCGAGTTTCCGTCCTTCCACACGCTTTGCCTCTTAAGCCCTTTGGCTGTTTGCGCCACGGCATTGCCATGCTGCTTGCCATCCTGCCGCTATCCAGTTGATGAATCATGAGTTAAATAAAGCCCATGCATTTAACGTCCACAAAGCCCGTGCCACCTGCCATTGTCCGCAGTAGGACCTGCCATCTGGCCAAGTCCTGAATGAAAGGCATGGCACTTATTTCCAACAAACCACGGTGGTTTGCCTTCATTGCATTACATACGTACACACATCTCATCATTGGCATCTGATTTGGTTGCAAAGGTCTCGGATAAAAACAAGTTGATTGAAATCTGAAGTTGAAAGTTCACTCCGACTGCCGCTGAGCTACAGAGTTCCCTCTCCATGTTTCCGGCCGTCTAAGAACTCGCCGATGTATGTTCGCCCATCAGACCACCACATCTTCCCTGATGGCCCCATGGTGTTGTGTGTCCAACGGCCTGAAAAACGGGACTCCAACATACGAATCAAAGGCGAATCCAAAAATCCGTGAGCTGTCGCGACCCAAAGCCTACCAGGACTACGGGTAATGAAGTCTGGTGTCCAACCTACTAGCGATGGCCTTTAAGCTACTAGCGACCAGAACTACGGATAATGATACCAGTAGGGGCTCTTGGCCTTACTACTAGGAACAAGAACGCTGCACCCAAAGCACTTTCCTCCAGCTTTCATCACCCACCTGAATAACCACGCCCATCACTCCAGGTGTACACACCCTCCCCATGCATGTCGTTGTTGTCCTCGGTCTTTGGTTGAGGAAAAAAAAAACCGTGTAACAAAGCCAAAGAAGCCAACGGCCACAAGCCTGAGGCCGAGTCGAACTCGCCCTCATATCTGCAAAGGGTAGACCAAATAAACTGTCCGCGGCCGTGCTTTGCGCCGGCCTGCATGGTACAACATGGTACAACATGTGCAGCTATAACATGCAATGTAAAAAACAACAACTATGTGTTTCATCTTACTAGTAGTAACAAGTGCCTTACTAGTAGTAACAAGAAGCTATTCGAAATAAATCGAAGCTAAATTAAATTAACTAATACTACTAGTAAGGCACTTGTTACTAGAAGCGATGCACTTGTCATTGAACTGTTCGAAGTCCCGGTGGAAGCTTGGTTTTTGTCGGTCAGCCCATGCAACAAAGGGCCACGACGTTTGAGTGAGACGGTGGCGGTCAACCGTGTCTTCATGGACACATCGAACCATGTTGTCATCCCCTCAGCCCATTCGTTGAATCCGTCAGCCCATCCAGCCTTGAAGTCACCTTCAAAAACAGATCCGTCAGCCCATTCTTCCTTCCCGTGTCCCTCTTGCATGTCGTTCGCCTGAGCCACACAACACATACGCGACGCGTTTTCTGCTGAGCCATGCAGACTGTCAAAGGCTAAGTTTCCCAAGTTCAAGGGTTCTTCAAGCAAATGACGCTACTAGGAGCAAAGGGCATCGCTACTAGGAGCAAGGACTCTACTAGTGGCTCCTGGCCTTACTACTAGGAACAAAGAAGCTACTAGAAACAAGAATTAGAATTGTAATTCAATTTAATTTACTTGCATGAACTAGCATGAACCCAAGACCTGAGAACTAGCATGATCTCAAAAGCCTAATGTCCACCTTTGATTTATCAATGGGCCCCCCCGCGAAAACCTCAAATAGACTTATATAAATACTCTTTTAGTATTGGTAGTATAGGCCTTGCTTTTTGGGAACTACAGGGATAGAAATTAGATTTAGAAACTAGGAATCCAGCACAGCACGAACACCGCAGGAATTGCGACAATTTGGGGTATTGTGGCTTCAAGGGGGGTACCCTTTCCAGACTGATGTTGATCAATTGTTCGCGAGTTTCGAATAAGGAATTCAAAACAGAATTTTGATGCGAAGGTTTTGGGTTTTGGTGAGTCCAATTGATGAAATCAACGGGGAAGGATGCAAGAAGGAATCCAAAGAAGGAACCAGTTAATAAGGAATTGACACGCGCTAACACTATATAGACGAAGCTAAAGGACAATTTGCTAAAGGCCATATCTATGTCCAGTGGCAAAAACATTTAGCTTTATTTAGGGTGTATTTATAATCTTGTTTTGGGACTTGCTTAGCTTTATTCAAGTTGATAAATCATAGGTTGACACTAGATGCTACTAGCCTTGCTACTAGTAGCCACTTGCGACATCTTGCTACTAGCTGTTGCTAGCTACTTACTTCTTCCTTCCTTAAAAAGAACAAGCGTTTTGATCTGAGCACAGCACCCATTGACCAGTGTATTTCGCACCCGAAGGGTAGTAGTAAACACCTTGTCCCTCCTTCTTGTCGTGCTTAAACTGGCCTTGGCATCTCGGCCAAAGAAAAGAGAGCAGGAATGAATAGAGCATTTGTTCTATATCTATTTGCATTTATCTGTTTTTCTTTAAAACTCCTTATTAGTTTTTATATCATCCTTGTCGTGCTCTTCCCCACTGCTGAGCGCAAACTGGGCTCGCGGCCAACGTACTTTGCACCATCCTTCCGAAGAGATCAAAATCATCGTTATGATTTGGAGTTTCTACAATCCTACAACCAAGCGATGGCCTACAACCTGGTTGCATTAGCCTCCAACCTACTAGCAATGGCCTCACTAATGGCCTCCAATCAGTGTTATGATGTTGAGTTCCTACAACCAATTATGAAATCACAACATATCATAATAACCACCTCTCTACGTTTCCAAATCCAGTGCCCCTTGTCGAACTTGAAATAAAGTGGCACGTCGTACTTGACGTAAAAAAGCACATTCAGCTGACTGCCACCTTGCCAGTGAGCACCCCATTGCCATGCTTCTGGCCGTTGAGCCAACCGCCCTCGTAGGTTGCATTCCCCTCCAAGACCTTGAAAGAAACTGCTCTCATCTTGGCCTCCAACCTAATAGCAATGGCCTCGAACCTAAGAGCAATGTCCTCGAAGAAAAGACATCACATCCATTTGACGGCTAACTTGAGGTCGCGTAGACTTCTAGATTGTGGCAACAGTGAAAGGAACCTCATCAACCACCATAGATGCCATAGAGACAAACCACAAAACAAAGGAGTGTTGTGACAATCTCGAAGGTACAACTAGGTGATGATCTGATCAGCCAGTCCACACACACCAACTGGCATGGCTCAAAAATAGCCTACCATCCAAAACGGATTAGCAAAAAGGACAAGAAGTAGGGTACAATGTGTAATAATGTGTAGAATCCAGCGAACCCTTGCCTCCTGTACGATCGATTGATTATTCATGCCCCTTACATGTCATGTGCTGTCCACATAACACATGCCAGAGGGAAAAAAATATTGGGCTCTTCTTGGCCTAAAACCTGCGTTGTGCTCGCAGGATTTGGTGGTTCCATGGCCAAGCGACTTGTCTCGAAGCCCCTCCACCTCCAGCATCAGCCTCACTCACCGAAGCAGCCGCCGCCTGGGCAAACATTGGAAAGCTTGATTGGGAACCACAGGTCCGAGAACAACAATATGCTGTGGTCGAAACAGGGACCTAGACCCCGTAGATACCATAGGTTTCGCTCAAAAAAAGATACTAGCAATGGCCTCGAACCTAATAGCGATGGCCTCGAACCTAATAGCGATGGCCTCCAACAAAAGAGCGCTGGCCTCCAACCAAATAGCGATGGCCTCCAACCTTTTAAGAGCGACGTCCTCCAACCAAATAGCGATGGCCTCCAACCTAAGAGCGACGTCCTCCAACCTAAGAGTGATGTCCTCCAACCTAAGAGCAATGGCCTCCAACCTAATGGCGATGGCCTCCAACCTAATAGCGATGGCCTCCAACAGAATAGCGATTGCTTCCAACCTAAGAGCGATGGGCTCCAACCTAATAGCGATGGCTTCCAACCTAACAGCGACCTCCAACCTAATAGCAATGGCTTCCAACCTAATAGCGATGGCCGCCAACCTGAGAGCGATGGCCTCCAACCAAATAGCGATGGGCTCCAACCTAATAGCGGTTGTCTCCAACCTAAGAGCGATGGCCTCCAACCTAAGAGCGATGCCTCCAACCTAAGAGCGATGCCCTCCAACCTAATAGCGATGGGCTCCAACCTAATAGCGGTTGTCTCCAACCAAATAGCGATGGCCTCCAACCTAACAGCGATGGCCTCCAACCTAACAGCAATGGACTCCAACCTAAGAGCGATGGTCTCCAACCTAAGAGCGATGGCCTCCAACCTAATAGCGA